AAATAAAATGTAATAATAGCTAAACTTTGATTTAAAGCTTGTTTAGGAATGAAATCAGCGGTATAAATTATTATTAAGTTAAGGCTTGTTTGGTCTACAAACGAAATTCCACAAAATATTGTACGACTTTAGAAGCAATGATCCTTATTACTTGAAAGCACACGGCACTCAGTGCTAAAACATAAATTTTTTGCTTTTCAGTTTGCTTCTGTAGAAATTAAAAAAATTAAACATAAAATGATGCACTCTGTCAATTGTCATCCATCCGAAGGGGATTTCTCTTCTGCAAATTTAATAGAAAATCAATGAAAAAAAAACAGAGCAATGCTGTTTAATAATATATACAATATGTTGTTGTAAATTTCATAAAAGCTTTCAAAAGCTTTTGATACAAAAAACAAAACGCTTAAATTTTCTGTGAAATTTGTGCCTTCGCTTTGATTTCAATTTTACATGAATTGTTTCACGCTTCATAAATTTCTATTGCTTTTAATATACTAACACACAAAAAAGGGAAAATAAATTAATACAAAAAACTCTATTCATACTAACATTGTAATAAAATATGTGCTAAAAACCCATTACATAAACAACGTATCCAGTGCGTTCAATATTTTTTTTTGAATTTTTTATTTTATATTATTATTAATATTTTTTAAATTATTATTATTATTTTTATTGCTTTATATTTATATTTAGTTTATTTATGCTTATTTTATTTTTTAATTTATTTAATTTTTTTTTGTTTTTATTTTATAATATGTACATATGTACAAAAGTTCATTTTATATAAATATTTTTTTCGCAACCATGAGTATATACAAAGCTTATGGTAATAATTTTAATACATTTATATGTGGAAGATATGTATGGATGTGTATTTATGATCTCACATTTATCTTTCATTCAATTCTCTACTATTTTCATAACATAAAAATTCATTTGCATTCAATTTACAAAGATATTAAGTTCCAGAGACTGTATATAATACACTTAAATGTGTATACTATTGAAATTCTAATAAATATTTTTATATGTATGTACGTATTTATGAGTAAGCCATCTATTTGTACTATTGCATACCGTTTTTTATGAATTTTTATGGCTTTAAATTGCATTTGGCCAATCAGTAGGAGCACCACAGGTGATACCATAAGATCTACATATGTATACGACATCTTGCAAATAAAAATATATGGATGTATGTATGTAAACTAAATTACGCAAATTCACTGTATGAACATTCAAATACGAATATAAAATAACTAAAGCTTCACTAAATAACCTGTAATGTGATGCCCCAGAAGTTTGTATAACTTTGTTTTGTTGTTTTTTTTGTTGTTTTTCTTTTTTTTTTATTGCTTTTTTTTGCTTTGTTGCTCAGCTTACAACTATTCATCCGCATATATTTCCGCACAACAGATGTGCAAAAGAAAAAAGCAAATAAATAAATTAAAGTGAAAATAATAAACAAAAAAATAAGAAAAATAAAAAGAGTCACAAAAAGAAAGTCCGCAAAAAGATCAAGCTGCAGTGAACATCATAATTATTAAATTGATTTATTGATCTTATATAACACTTTTTTTTTTATCTGTATATCACTTTTATATAGTAATTAAATACTTCCTTAATTTACTTTTATTACTTTCGCTTAATATTTTGTGTACTATTATGCAATACAATTGTTGACATTTTCCATTATTGCCCTTTCACACAACAACCCGAGCGCTTTTTCGCTGCGTGTTTGGCTATTAAAATAAATATGCTGTAATAGAGATTGTTGTTTTAGTGTTTGTAGACCATTGGGTGACAGGTGTCAGTGTGCTTTGCAGGCGGCCAATGAACTTTGCGAGCAGAGGTATACTTGTGTTTGCATACATATTTATAGCTCTTACAATAGTAAATAATAGCAGAGTGTTGGTAAATTGCCTTAAATTTTGGCAATCATAATTAAACAAACAACTCCTTAAGTATAATTATCAAAATTTAAGGTTCGAAAACCTCTTCAAAGTAATTTGATTTTAATGAATTAACTTAATGTGCAGAGATTAGGAGACTTAAAATCGTTTTCAGAATTTATTAAAAGAAATTGGACTTTAAATTCTGTGATCATTCGTTTTCTTTTAATTCATATTATTTTATTATTTACTATTAATTATTATTTTTTATTGTTTTATTTTAATTTTATTATTTTATATAATTTTATTTAATTTAAATTTATTTAATTTTATCATTTTTTATTTTAATTTAAACTATTTTGTTTTATGTTATTTTATATAACTTAATTTATTTTATTTTCTTTTATTTTAATTTTAACAATTTAATTTTTTTATTTTGCCTTATTTTATATTATTTTATTATCTTTTATTTTTTATTATATTTTTTCTCAATTAAAATTGCGGCTTGATTTTACTTTAATACTTTTTATGTTATTTTATTTTTCATTTCATTAGTATATTTTATTTTATTAACTTTTATTAAATTTTTTTTCCATTTTAATTTTTTTATTTAATTTTATTTTATTTTCATACATTTTCTCATTTTATTTATTATATTTTATATTTTTAAATTATATTTTATTTCATTTTCTTTTATTTTATTTTATATGTTTCATTTAATTAATTTTTATTCAAATTTAATTTATTTTATCTTCTTTTTCTCTTAATTAAATGAAAATTTTAATTAAAATTTTACTTTATTTTTTTTTAATTTAATGTAATTTAATTTAAATTTTATTTATATTATTTTTTTACTTTTCTTTTAATTTCCTTTAATTTAAATTTTATTTATATTATTTTTTTACTTTTCTTTTAATTTCCTTTAATTTTAATTTTAATTTTTTATTATTTTATTTTTTCTTCTTTTTTTCTAATTTTAATTATTTTGCGCTATTTTGTTTTATTTTATATTTTTCATTTAATTAAATTTAATTTATATTTTACCTAATTTTTTTTTTATTTAAATTTAATTTATATTATATTCTTTACATATCTTTTAATTTCCTTTAATTTCAATTTTGGATTTGATTATTCTATTTTGTTTTAATTCTTTTCTAATTTAAATTATTTTGCCTTATTTTGTTTTTTGGCATTATTTTATTAACTTTTATTATTGTATTGTGATTTTTCCTATTTGTTTTAATTTTATTTTATTTCATTTTTTTTATTTCATTTATTATATTATATTTTATTATCTTTTATGTTTTTACTTTATTTTATTCCATTTTTGTTAAATTTATTTTGTTTTATATTATTTTATTTTGTTTAATTTAATTTATTTTTTCTTGTTTTATTTCTGTTTATTTTATTATATTTTATTTTATTTTTGATATAATTTCACTATGTTATTAATTTTTTTATTTGATTAATATTTTTTATCATATCTGTGAGGTCTTTTTTGTAAATAAATTCCTAGGAAATTTGCTTGACAATTTTATTTCCGCTTTATGCTCAATCAAACACTTGTCAATCGCGCACCTAATCTCTACCTATGCGTCTCTTCTACTCACTCACTTAGTCAACCACAGCGCCAAAACACTTTCAATGGCAATTAAGTATTGATTTTATTTTATTTCGGGTTTTCTATTTTTGGCTACAAAGAATCCGATAATAAATAGCTAAATGCAGTTAAATAATGCCTTGGCCTAAAGACCTTTTGTAAAGCAACGAAAATAAAGAAAAATTAAAAGATTGAGGAAATGTAAACAAATACTTAAATATATCAAGGGAGGCAAGTATTTTTTGTGGTTTATTTAAAAAAATGTAAAGAATTCTCCAACAGAAATTGGATGTATTGCAATCAACCGTTAGATGCGCTGAATCTTTCATTATTGGTTGTACTCAGTTTCAGCATTTTCTAACCGCTTCTCTTTTGTGTGATATTCTAATTTTGTTTTGTTTGAAAATTTATTGTTCTGTTTTTATTTGCTTATTTGGCAAATTTTAATTTTTAATTATTATTTTTTTGTCTGTTGTTTTTTTTTTCATACACACATTTCAACAAAACAGTATGACCAATTCTCAGTTAAGTGGGTTAATGAGGTCAACAGCTATATTAGCTGCGGGCAACAACAAATAATAGCAAAAATATTTGAAGCAGCAGACAATATGGACTTTCGAGTTTTGAGCTAATATATATGTACATATGTATTTACATATATTTTTTTATACAAAAATACAATAATACGAGTAATTATATAAATTGTGATGAATCTCTAAAGCAAAAAAAAGTAAAAAAATAAGATAAAATAAAATAAAATAAAATAAAATAAAATAAAATAAAATAAAATAAAATAAAATAAAATAAAATAAAATAAAATAAAATACAATAAAAAAAAATTAAATTAAATAAATAAAGAAAATAAAATAAAATTAATTGAAAATAAAAGAAAAAAAAAATAAAATAAAATAAACAAAAATAAAATATTATTTGCTTTTATTTTTTTATTTATTACCATAAACATTCATTCTAAAATTTGACCAGAAATTATATTTCACTGATTTTTATCCCTTTTACACGTGGGTATTTAGCTTAAAAAATTCTAATAATCAATATTGCTAAGTGAGCTTTGAGTGTTCGCAGTGAAAATCCCAATGTTGATGCATAAAATACATATCAAAATAATGCGGCAAAGTTTACTCTTAAGTAAAGCGCTGATTTGGATTTTTAATTAATTTTTTTTGCGTTCACAAAAATATTTTACATATATATTATGTAATGGTATATCAATGGCACTCGTCAGCTGATATTACTTTGTAGTCTCTATAAAATTATAATTTTTATATTTTTTTGTAGTATATAAAAATACATACAATAACTTGTAAATATATGAATTTTTTTTTAATTTGTATGGTGGAGGAAAATGTTTCATGATTTAATTTATATAATTTTGTATAAAAATATGTAAGCCTTTTTTGTGCCTTATAAATTTGCAAAAATATTTATTGAAATTTTTTTAAAATATTTATTAATCAATTTCATTTTCTAAAATTTCTTTGCAGTTCCGGTCGTCGGCAATTGGGCTCAAATGCCTTAGCCAGGTAAGTTAAAAAAAACAAAAAGCTATACTAATGCCCACAAATACATGCACTAAGCCATATTCAGAAAAATTAGTAATTTTGTTGGCGAATATTTAAAGTAATTGGCAATAATATATTTAAAAAATATATTTTTTACTATTAATTTATTTTTTATTAATTTTAATTTTAATATAATCTAAATTTTTATTAACTGCATTAGTTATTATTCATATTCACAGACTCAAATATGTAATTAACCGTATTTGTATAAACAAATCTAAATTCTTAAAGTGGAAAAAATGTAAATTTATTTTATTCACACGCTTCGTTTGCAGTGCTTTGTTAAAAAACACTAATTCATAGCTTATTTTCCTGTATTTTTCCATTATTTTCAAATCAGAGTTAGCTTGGCATAAGCTAGAGAACTTATAATTATTAAATAAATAATAATTAAATAAGATCTCTGATAAGCTCTCAATTTACTCAATGACAGTTTTAGCGCTTTGGAATGGTGTAACATAAGCAATTTAAAGCCACTGTGTTTTCTCTTAGCCAAGACACATTTGCAACGCACTTCAAACTGTGCCAACGCTTTTAGCTCATTTTTAGACTTATTTTGGTTTGGTAAACACTGCATTTGCAACTATTGTGAATGGTTGAGTGGTGTTTGTCTGCAATAAAAAGTGCTCGATGAAATGAGTGAGTGTTGTTGCTAAGGTTAATAGCTACGAAGTGCAGTAGTTATAAAGTTCTTGCTTAAGGCGTAGTTATACTAACACTGGAGTGTAGTAATTACATTGAAATAGACTGAAGTTCATTATTCATTTACATAGCATTTGAGCCTCTATAAATTCAAAAATTGTTTAAATATATATTTAACACTCTTAAAACAAACATATGTACATATAAACACCTGCACGCACACATACATAGCACACTTTTTAATTTATAAAAATTTTTCATTATTCAGTCAACTTTACAGATCATCAAGTTTCAATTCATCCGGGCGTAGCTCCAATTGTGATACCACAGAAGACATGTATAGCGATATAAGTTTGGATAATGTGCAGGATTTGAACTATAAGGTGAGTGAGAAATCAATGAAATTTAATATTATTATATATAAAAATAATCAAAAACTAATTTTACTTGTAAAAAAATGGTAAGTTTTTCCTATAAAAACAGTCTAAATGGTATGAGCAACATGGCAGGGACCATATAATAATAACGCGCTATCGACAGTTATCGATAATGAGTTGCGAAGTGCGACCGCTTTGGCTGTTCACAATAGATTACTCCTGTCAGCTGATAAGTGTGTGGGATGAAGTTAAGATTGAAAATCGAATATCATTTTCGAAAACTTAGTTAGCGTTTAAATTATACTTGACCCTTTGAGGCTATGCACAATTGACATCCACCAACCACCCAAACGTCAAACGTATGTCAACAACCTTTCAAAAGTCAGCCGCCCTTTCACTTGCGCCTGCCACGCTCACGTCGTGTTATTGGTTATTATTACTCTTTGGTTGGCACTAAAAGCTATTTCATGTCTGCCCGCCTGCCTGGCCGCCTCATTAAATTATAAATTCCTGAAAAATTATACAATCATCAATCATGCAAAAAAAAAAAAAAAAAAAAAATAAGCGCCGTCAAGGGGCAAGCAACTAAAGGACGAACAACTAAGAAATTTAGAAAAAGAGAAAAAAATATTCAAAGCTGCCGCGGCACGACTTTTCGCGCATTTTCTTTACATTTTCCTTCACGTACTCGTAAGCGCATAGTTAAATTGCGCAAATAAAACAATAAGCGTATGAGCAAACCAGCGAGCTGTGCACTGACGAGAAATAAGCAACATGGCGGCCAATTGCAATGACCTTGAGGCAACACGAAGTGCAATTGCCAATGCTGTCAATTATCCAACATTTCTTTGGTACTTAACTTTGGTCTTTGCTGAACATTTTTTTTATGTGGCTCTTTGCTTAACTAATTTCGTTTGACCTTTATTGCCGTTTACATTTTATTGCGTTGATTGGGAGTGAGTTTTTTTGACAGTATGTTGCGCATGCGCAGGTGAAATTGTAGTTTTTTATGTCTTGCCATATATTATGTCTTACCATTTTTTATGACTTACCATATTTTATATCTAGCAGTTGTTGCATTCATGTAGCAAAAACAAATAGGCGTTATTATTTTTATACTCCTTCCTTTTTTTGGTTATGCAAAATTTCGCTTATCTCCCGCGGCAGCTTTATTTCATATAATTTGTTTTTTTAGCCGTACGCCAGCACCATTGATACGTTCAATATTTGTCGCCTGTTTTTGATTGATTTATGCAATTTTTACTGCGCTATTATTTATTGCTTTTTCCCTTTTGAAATCACGCTTGCCAATGAGAGTTCGATGCTGAAAAACCTTTAGGTAAATTTTCTTTACTTTTCTGTCCAATCGCAGCTTTTTTTTTCTTATTGTGAATTTTTTCTACTGCCAGCGGGTTTTTTACTGTTCTTTTTTTTTTGGCATTATATTGCAGCGTTGCATTTTTTCCAACGTGGGAAAAATTAAGGCGCAATTACAATTTCAGAAATTTACTTGCATAAAATCAAAGTGGCAGCAAAAGAGTTTTGAAAGCTCTATTACTCACTCAATCACTCGGCATTAGGAATGTGAAAGAGTGGTAGAGACGGAGCAAAAAAAAATTAAAAGCAATAAAAATTTTATTACGGAAGTTGTTGCATAATCAATCCCTGTTGTTGATACAAAAATTATGGCAACTGCTTTGAAAAAAAAAAAAAAAAAAATAAAATAAAATAAAATTTAAAAAAATGTTCAAATAATCATGGCTACTTCGGCAGTAACATCTTCATTGTAATTCAACCATCCCCTTGATTGACATCATTATGCAACTATAGTTCAGGTTAGGCGTTTCTACTTTTCACAATTTAGCACTAACTGTAAAGATCATGTGAGACCCAATTGAGGTGACTTCACGTTAAACGTTGATTCAGCGATCTCCGCTGCTTTGAGAATCATTTATTTAGGCAAGCTCACCTTAGGAGATTATGCTGGATCGTTTTTTTTACCTTTTTTTTCTTCTACTTCTGCTTTTCATTGAAGGTCTGAAGAAGATCTCTCTATTGCTTTGCTTTCAGTGCAATGAATACTTACAAAACTGGAATGACGTTCAGGATGATCTGGTCAACTGTCGCTTAATAGCCGTGTGTCTAACAGTGCTTACAAACTGAAGAATAGGGTTTAAGGCCTAGTCCGAGAAACATCCAAAAATATAGAAAATAAATTTTTCTATTTGCGGCCGCCCCTAAAAATCAAAGCTCCTCATAAAAATCCATCTGCCACTCGGAGGTGGCTTAAATTAAACTTTGCTTCCTCCTTTCATTTCTTGGACAAACATCAGATGATCTCCACAAATCAGAGGAAAAGCTTGGCAGCCAACCGCTTCAGCGGTAATAAAGCTTTCTTCGTAAGATATATTTTATTGCTGTAGATGAAACTTAGGTTAGGTAAAGTTAGACCAAAGTTGCTGATCTCAAGAATATTCAACATACAAAAAGTTAAATTTCATGAACGCTAGTCCCCTCTTTTTTTTAGTATATCCCTTAATGCAAGTCTTCAATCTTAAATGAGTCTAATATCGGTCTCTGCTAAGTCTTTTCGGTTGGTTAAAGTTAGCAATAAGTGACATTTCACTCTCACCCTCGCAAGCGCAGGTTAATTCATGAGAATGTGCAGAGATGAGTTTATCACCTCATGCAGACAACTCGCTAGCGATTATACGACCAAGTACTAAACCTTGCTGCCTAGTTAGAACTCTTACTGTGCGTGAGAGTATCAATTTTCGAATAAAAAAACGACTTTTCCCAGACCCACCATAGTCAACTTCGTGCCAGAAGGAGCCGACAACCGCACACCTGAAAGTTTTAGCTCTGCACAAGCTGAGTTGGTTGAATGACCACCTGCTCAGAAACTTACCATATTAACCAAGAGAGATAGTAAGAGTCACTTGGCTGTGTAAATAAACAGTGGGCAGCCTCAAAGATGTCATACTCCGAAGCTCGATGTCCGCCACTTCTTTAATAGCAGCAACTTTCGCCTGTAAAACTATAAAACATTGATCTAAAAGGCGAAACTTCTCGCAGATAGATATGTATTTCTCCACAAAAAACCGACCTCTCGGGCAATCTTTGATTTATACTTCAATAAATTCAGTTCATGGTTCCTTCAATGCCTTTGTACCCTACAATATGCCCATTATTATGATGAAGAATTGGTCACTCAGCACCAACTTAGAGATACAGTCTTCCATTTAGCTCAAATGAAGTCAAATACCTGAAAAAAGTGGAGTGCTCGACGCTCGAGTCGATAAGAGAGCCGCACTATCTGAGAACAGCCGCGCCTTGTGTTTCACTAGATCCACTTACAGCATCTAGAGGCACTACACTGCTCCTTATTTAAGCGCCAAGATTAGATTGGCTAGCAATGCACCACAACTGTTGATGAGAATTGTGCGTTGAACGACTTTGAGCGGGTTAGCTAGCTTAACTTTTGCTAGAGGTTTGACTGTAGAAATGGAGATCCAAGGTATTATTTTGGCCAAAAGGTTAGAAGAAGAGCTCGAACTGCGAGTGCCGAGTAATACTGACACAACATAAGTCCGGATACTGTAGCAAACTCTGCTCATACTTATTGAAACTCAATACCGATGTATCCAATGAGCCACGACACAACAATAACTTGATCATCTTAGCATTTTTTTTCTTTGGTACTAACCCTTTGCTGTTACTGTTGCACCCAAGTGGGGTTTATGGGGTATGTTGTGGAAGTGCCAATCCATGCTTGGATAACCCGTCAAAACATCTCATTTCATGGGGCTTCCGTTTCTAGGTAGGACGGCCCCACCACGAAAACAACAGCAGATCGATTCCATCTTGACTCAACAGCGTTTATTTCTCTCCTATATGTTTGCACTTCAGTAGAGTTTATTGTCTAGCACTGTTCCCAGATATTTCAGGTACTTATCGGACAAATATCCACGATTTTAAACATCCCAATGGAAATGAGTTCAATAAAACAAGCTCGGTCTCATCGAATTTGGGAGAAAGGCTGTTTTTTCCCCACTTTTTCAATCGCAAAACCTTAAGTTTCAATTGGTATATTTTCAGTCAGATTAGGCTGGTGTTCTACATCCAAGGGATTCTAAAAACCGTTTTCAAAAATAAAAATTTCCAAAAACTTAACGACGAAAAGTGGAAATCTGGTTTTTTAATACCTTTATTTGCAATTACGATTTTTTTTAGTCTTATTGCACTTCTCAATCGGTTAAAGCAACTGAATTTATTTATCTGATAATTTTTTTTCAATTATTTATAAATAATAAATTTCAGTAGTTAACTGAAAATATGGTAAAATTTAAAATAAAAAATTTGAGCAAAAACTAAATTACATTTTAATCAACAATTTATCCACGCTTGTACTTGAATTCAAGCAACAAAGCGTGTAAATGTGCAAATCTCGCCGCCGAATAAATTGGCAAACCTTCAATTATAAACACTTACTTACTTAGGTATTTACTTTGAGATTTGTTACAGCATTTTGTGAATGAAATTTGAAAATCATTGTGATTTTGTGTCTAGTCATTTTTTATTTTTCTTACAAAAAAAAAAAAAAACTAAAAACAGAAAAAAAAATTAAAAACTGAAAAAAGTGGAAAAAATCGGGGTTGAGCAATTGAATTCGCACTGCAAACTAATTTAACGGTATTGGTTTGTTTTTGCGTTATTATTTTAAATATTTTTTTCATGATTTTTCTTTGCTTATTTATATGACTTTTTTTGTTCAGTTAGTTTTGAGGTTAAGTTAGTTAATACCAAACTCGGCACAATTAATGAGAATGGTCTATTTTTTCTTCTTCTTTTTCTTTTTTGAAATATTAAAAAAAAAATAATAATAATTAATTGTGGTATTGCGTCTTTTATTTTTTCCCAACAAATGGGGGAATAAAAAAAATTTTAAATATAAATTTTTTATATAGAATTAAATTGAAAAATTTACACTCTCAAACGACACACCA